TCTTTTGAAGTTGTCTGATGAGGTGCTTATTTCAGCTGCTCCTTGGCAGCATTCAGCTTATCCTCCACGGTGTAGCTTCCACAGAGTAAGAAGTACCATGAGGCAGTGCATGGTGAGCAGGAGATGTGCAGAGGGCTGGGCAGCAAAGGCTGTGGGTGTAACTTCCATACTGGCAGTGCTACCCTGGTGTAGTCCTCCCTTCTCTCTCTGGCTGGTGTCAGAGTGAATCCTGCCATCTTTCCAATGCCTTTCTCTCCTTGCCCTCAATTGATTTTGAATGGTACCTCCTAAATCCTACCAGGGAGTTACTCGTTGGGTGCTTGAGTCAAGGGACTGAGGTGGAAGGGAGCAGAGCGAAACTGGGATGTTCCTTGGTGCCCCTTGGAGACAGGGGAGTGCATGCCCACTGACTCCCTTTTTGTGATGACCAAGCAGTGGACATGAAGCCACTTTTTCAGAGGCAGTGTGTTTGGGGTCCAGCTGTGAGCTGGCAAGAGGATGAAGGCCAGGTCGCCTTAAGAAATATCTTGTGGGTGTCGTCTGCTCTGCCTGCCCCATACCTTGGAGGTGTTCACCATCAGCCTGTCTGCAAGCAGAATGGGAACAGGACCCACTGGCCCTCATGGTGCCTCTGCACCCAACTGACGTGTGAGGTGTACCAAAAACAACACCACAAGTGGTGCAGCACAGGAGGAAGACAAGCTCACTACTAGCTGTGACTTGATTACTCCTTTGCCCTTTGATGCTTGAGGATTACACTACTAAAATACTCAGGGTAGCCAGGATTCTCAGTCCCAGGTGCCTGGATGAGTAGGTGAATCAGAGGGAAGTGTGAGAGGCAAACACTGCTGAAATCATTTATGGGTTCCACATGTGGGAGAGCACACCTGTATGTTATTTGTGTAGTAACAGTTCCATGTATTTGGTATATGGAAGCTCACTTTATTCAAATACGTTTATTCTATTCCAGAAACAAAACACCAATAATAATATGGTAAAGCCTTTGTGTATGGCTGAAACTATAGAGATCAAAATTTGTAGCATGGAAGATGATTTGCAGTTGGTTGGTTCAGATATCAAGCAGCGAGTTTTGGGAAAACACTGAAGTCCATATCCAACCATAATTTTGTCCCCAAGCAGCTCCATTAAGTCAAGATTTTTAATTTTCTGTTTGTTACTGTGTTTATACTCAAGGGAAGCCCTATTTTTCCAGAAGATACTGAGCCAGGCATCCCACAAAGGGAGCATCTAATCCTTTCCCATGGTGTGCACAGTATAATTTGAGTTCTGTTTAGACATGAGATACAAGCCATGGTACAGATGAGCAGGGAGAGCTGTGCTGCAGCCCCACAGGAAGGCACACAGCAACCCTGAGAAAAGTCTTGCACAGCCATCAGCAGGAGATAAAAAAAAAAATAAGCTGGAGTTATCACTACCCTTCCAAAGCATTTGTGTATAGCTAAGATATCATTTCCTGTACAGTCACACACATCATTGCATAGTGCCATGAACTTGGCTCTTATCAGCACCCTGATGGGAAAGCTCGGGTTATTTACAGTAGGGCTTGTTTCAGTGTTCCAAGCTTCTTTTCAGTTAAAACAAATGGCAAATTAAATATAAAATAGATAAGTATGGAACGTGAAATTGATTGTCCAGGACTGAGGTATGATAGGCAGAGGAAACTTAAGACACTTCCTATAGATTACATTACCTTCTTTTATGTATATTAGATACATTAAACTAATTTTAAAAACTGGCTAACTGAATAATTTACATATAGTGAAGCGGCAATTTTAAAACCCCCCCCAAACCCCAGCACATGCTTCAGGTTGATTTTTTATTACAGAAGTATAGTATAACTATTACTGTTAGTACCAATACTAAAAATTTACCTTTCTTTCAGTCACTTCCACGAGGATTTAGGGGTTTGTATGGTGTATGCTATGTACGTAGTATATAAAAAAGGAGTCCAGGAACTACAAAACACCTTTGGACAACTTCAGTCTGTCTCTTGATCTCAGATCTTCAAAGTTTCCTCATTTGAGGCTTGGGGACTTGGATCCTTTTCTCTCTGCCTGCTTACTGACCTTGATAAAAGATTTTTAGTCTAACACGTGTTTAGCAGCCCTGGGATTCCCTCCCAAATGAAACTAAAAATAGCTTTACAGGGAGCAGGATCATGTTGTGCTGGACTGCACTGTACCTGGCAGGCAGCTACTGCTGAATTGCAGGCTGTGGGCAGGATCAGGAAATATTTTTAAGTATGTATATATATTTTTATATATGTTAATTTTTTCTGTAGTGGTGACATGCTCAGGAAGCAGGTGTACTGGAAGTACAGAAATGTAACTTTTACATAGGAAAAGTGAGGGGGGGAACCCACCCCAAACCCATAAACCTGGGTCAAGGGCTGCACCTCACCTCTCTCGTGTCCTTCCCCTCAGAGTGGGGCCCTCCCAGAAGTGCAGTGGCCTGGCTCCCAGCAATGTGTGTTTACAGATCCCAGGCACATATAGGATTCAGTGTGGAAAACAATATTTGACTGTGCTTTGAAAAAAAACAGCCGAGCTTACAGGTTTTCTCCATGGTTTCTGAGGGAGATAGATGAGCTCTTCTTCCCCTCATCTCAGTATTTCCTCTGCCTCCAGCCCTGTCGCCTTTTAAAGCAGCAATGGGGGAATTTTATTATGTTTTATACTTTCATCTTCAGTGGTGATCTGTCTGTTTCTCCATGGGTCCCTACAGCATGCTAATCCCTCAAGTCTCTTACACAGCATAATTTTCATCTTAATTTTTCTGTTTCTCAGTGTTTAATGGGTTTGCCAGGGGAACAGGGGGTCATTTCCTGTCCCCACCAGATCATTAATTCTCTATGAAAGCACCGCAATCTCACACTTCTCAAACAAACAGAAACATTGGGAAGAGGCAACGTCATGTGCAGAACACTCAGCTGTGCTGCAGCAGCTGGAGGAGCAAAGATGCTGGTGTGCACTGCAGACACCAAAATGGTCATTTGAAAAACAGGGAGGGAGAGATTACGTAAGAGCCGTAGAAAATGGCTGTTTAATTCCGTAACAGAAATGAAGATGTCTAGTTTTTTCAGCTTAATCTGCTGAGCTGTCTCCTCATAGTCTTTATTTTTATAAACAAATACTTTTCTTTTTGTCTTTTTTTTCTCCAAAACAACACTGGCCCAATGGTTTTCTTACTGATACTTGTCACTTTCTGAATAAGAAATTTGATTTTTGCTCTTGTTTTCAGCGCTTGGCTATCTCTGCCTTCATGTAATCTGTCTCAGCCAAAGCTGGAAAAAAGAAAACAAACAAACAAACAAAACCTTCCCAGCCCTATATTTGTGAATCTTTTCTGCAGAACATTTCATGAGATGGGAAAAATCCAGAATTGTTCTCCTTAAACCAGCAGCAGGAGAGGGAAATAAATGACTCATGTGTTTACTTTTAAAAATCTTTTTTAAGCACTCAGATGTGCCTGATAAATTATTACCATTTCCCCCAACCAGCTTCTGCTGTCAACTCCTGGCATTTCTGTAGGTAGTCCTGTGCTCACTGTAGTATCTCACTTCCAAATCCAAGGACTCACAGGTCTCAGGAGAGATTTAGTAGATTTCCAACTTCCTTGTCTTGGACATTTTTTAGCCTCTGTTTATGGGTTTTTGTTTTTTTCCCCTTTTCCTTGACCTCTTTGCAGGTTTGTTTGCCTTACAAAACATCTGTGCCAGCAAATGATTTCTGTAAGCACCAGAACCAAGGAGTTCTTTACCTGCTGTTAGGCACATCCCCAGGCTGGGACCCTTCACCCAGACAATTTCAGTTCCAGATGCTGCTGCCCTCCTGTCATCTCCTGGCATCCCAGTACCAGTCTGCCTGCAGGACGTGGGCAAGTGCCTTGCTCCCATGGGCCTGGGCACTGGGCAGTGGTGATGGCACATCTTTGCTCACAGGGAGCAGGATTCAGCTGTGTGCTGGTGAAAAATGTACATTTGGGGTGTGCTGGTGCTTCCCCATGGTAACAGAGTTGAAACTGGACAAGTTTCCATGGTGATTATTACTACAGCAGGATTCTCTTCACACTTCGGGAGAGGCACGGGCAGCACCAGGCAAAGCAGCCTGGCAGCAGCTCATGGGGCAGAAATTTTTATCCTTCTAAATAAATGGATGCATAGTGCCATTAATTTGCTGATTTTTTTTTTCCCCCAAAGGGAGGGAAGTGTTGATCTTTAGGGGAAATAGGATGCATATTTCACCACAATCATGAACTGAAACCATGCCTGCCCTTTTTTAATTGCTATTTGCTTGGCTGATATAAAGAGTTGGGCTGTCAAACTGGATTTTAAGTTGTTTTCATTTTTTTTCCCTCCAAGTCTTTAATGAATCAGGTGCCTGGTTCACATTACTGTCTCTGTCTAGCACTGTGGCAGGGTGAACACTGGAGTTTTGGTTGGTTTTGCTTTGCCATTGCATGGCTGTGCTCCTTTCTGATCCTGCACACAGCAGTTTTGGGAGAAAAAAGGAACAAGTATTGTAGGGGATTGAAGTACCCTTCATGAATGGCTGAATATTTCCTGGCTGCAATATTTTTAGAAATGTTTGTTTTGGGGGTTCTGTTGAGTTAAAACAACATGCTGTCACTCAGCTCTCATGTGCATTGTCATTATGTGAAGCTGTGTTTAAAAATGTGCAACGGGCATCCTGAGTCCTTGTTTCAGGCTGTGTACTGAGAGGGTTTTTTGGCTGCAGGCAGTCCTTAAGGCCGTGTTTATGGCTAAATATAAGTTCCCCAAAATGTTTCGCACAACAGTGAGGGTTGTATGCATATCCTGCATCTCTGTACATACAGTACACTGTATTATGGAGCCGTTAGCTTGAAGTGTGGAAACGTTTAATGGCTTTTCTTTGGTGACGGGTTCTTTAAAGGCAATTGCAAATATTATTTTGGGGAAGAGATTTATGTGGTGCCTAAAATATGCTTCTGGCTTGCAGGCCAAATTATGTCGGTGCTGATGCTCCTGGCAGCGTGGAGCCGCCGCGGGTCCCACTGACAGCGATGTAGAGGTGGTGCTGGCAGAGCCCAAGAAGCCCTGCGACATGGAGGAGCTGTACAAGGATGCCCCCAACCTGCCTATGGATGTCACCAGCTCACCCTCGGCGATGGCCAACAACAAGCTGGAAAATGGGGTGGCTCAGCTGATCACAGCAGAGGCTTGGAACATCAACTCGGCCGACCTGATGAAGAAGGCCCTTTCCCCGCTGGTGACAGTCCCCGCACCCTCCATCCTGACGCCACCGGCCGAGTCCCAGAGCGGGGTGGCCCTGAAGGTGGCGGCCACCGTGCTGCAGCCCATCTGCCTGGGGGACAGCCCCGTGGTCCTGCCCATCCACCTGCAGGTCGCCGGCAGCGCAGCCCCGCAGATGCCAGCCACCAATGCCGCCACCCCCTACGTGATGACAACGCAGGGCCCCGTGCCGCTGCCCGTCCTCCTGGAGCAGCATGTCTTCCAGCACCTGAACTCGCCCCTGGTGCTGCCCCCGGGGGCTGCCTGCCCCGCCAGCCCCCTGCACGCCGGCCTCTTCCCCGGCACCGCCACCCCCGTGGGGCAGCCCCAGCTCCTGGACCCCAAGCCCTCCGGCCAGGCGCAGGAGCCCGTCCTGCCCCCGGTGTTTCAGACTCCGGGGTTCGCCGCCGTCCTTCAGGACCTGTTTCCCTCACAGGGCGCCCTGGGCTCAGCCCCGTGTCAGCCGCCCCCCGACTACGCCACCCTCCCACCGCAGGCCTTCAGCTCGCCCCTGTCCCCGCTGGTGCCGCCTGCTACGCTGCTGGTGCCCTACCCCGTCATCGTGCCCCTGCCCGTGCCCATCCCTATCCCCATCCCTGTCCCCATCCCTGTGCCCCACGGCGCCGAGGCCAAGGCGGCCCCTGACCCACCCAAGCCGCCACTCTTCACCCCGCACTCCTGCAAGGGCACCCAGACACCCCTGGAGAAGGAGGAGACGAAGCCCTTCGAGCTCCTCCAGCCCCGGGAATTTCCCCAGCTGAGCCGTCACACTGTCATCAAGATGGGCGGTGAGAACGAGGCGTTGGACCTCTCCATGAAAGGGCCGCCCGCGCTTCGGGCCAGCGAGGCGGTGCCGCCGCCGCCGCCGCCGCCCGAGGACGGGGCGCTGGACCTGTCGCTCGCCTCCTGCCGCAAGCCGGCGGGGCCGCACGGGGACGCGGCCGCTCCGGGCCCTGCCACCACCGCCGAGCTCGCTGCCCACCCCGCGCCGGACAAGCTCCCCGGGCCAGCCGCTCCCTTCGGCTCCTGCAAGCCCCCGGAGGCGGCGGGCAAGGCGGAGGGCCGGGGCGCGGGCGGCGGCGCGGCCGAGCTGCTGCGGCAGCCGCAGAAGTGGCTGGTGGAACAGGCGGGCAGGGCGGGCTGCGAGCCCAAGGCCGGCAACAACATCGAGATCGTCAGCACCTCGCAGACAGCCAAAGTCATCGTCTCCGTCAAGGATGCCGTGCCCACCATCTTCTGCGGCAAGATCAAGGGCTTGTCGGGGGTCTCCACCAAAAACTTTTCCTTCAAAAGGGACCTGCCCCAGGACTCGGTGCTGCAGTGCTACGACGTGAAGAGCCCGCCCGAGCCCCGGGACAGCGCCGAGGCCCTCAGGAAACCCGTCAAAAACAGGAGCGTAAAGCTAAAGAAAATGAACTCGCCGGAGATACATATTCTTCCAATCAAGAAGCAACGGCTGGCTGCCTTTTTTCCAAGAAAGTAAATTATGGGTTTTTAGAATTTTAAGATTATTATGAGAAGAAGAAGAAGAAATAATAAAAAAAAAGATGCACTCGGTTTTAAACTCATTTAAAACTTTAAACTATCTTTGTAAGTTATTTTTGGGGGAAGAGGGAGAGGATTGGATGTAGAGGTCCTATAAGCTGGGTTGGTTTGGTTTTTTCTTTTGTTTTTGTTTTTTGGGGTTTTTTTTGTTACCAAATTTTGACTTTTCATGGGAAACTGAATAAAAAAGCAACCTATTTTTCAAGCAGATTGCACATTTTGCAGCTTTAATGGAGTAAAGGATGAGTCAGAGGGGTAAGAGCTATTTTCACTGCCACAAAGTGCTTTGATGATGTAACTCTTCATAACAGTCGGAATGGAAATTTCAAAATAAATGTTTGTACGTGCTAATTGGTTGCAGCATTCTTTTCTCATTTCCGAATCGCTTTCAGTCTACAAAGGAGGTCGTGCAAAATGTCTGTAAGCTGTAAACCGCTGCATCTGACTTGTGATGAGCATAAAATGTTAAAAAAAATAGCAGGCTAAGAAAAATGATCTTGTCCCGCAGCAGTGTCAAAGAGCGTGTCACAACAGCTGCTAACAATGCACCCAGTGAGCTACCACAGGAGTGAGAGTGAGCACCACAGCCTAGTGCACACCTGAGACAGGGTCACTGTGAGACACCCACAGCAAACCATCTTCAGTAATGTTATCAGTCTTTTAAAATAGAAAAGCCTAAAAGTCAAGGGAATTCGGTTGCCAGGGGGCAGGAAGGGAAAAAAAGAATCACGTAATTTTTCCCTGCCTGACTACAGCTATATGGAAACATTGTTTATTGTTAGTTTTCTACATTTCTTTGATGGCTGAAATCAATGCACATAAAAGAGCAGAGCTGTGTAACTTTTATCACTCAGCAGTGTGCAAAGCCACCCACATCAATGGAGAAATGTGAATGTACAATTAAAATAAAGTTCTGCTGGGTTACAGTTTTGCACTTGTCTGTGGAAATGAGCTGGAGGTGAATTACTGGCTGTTGGCTTCAAAGTTCACACAGCTCACTGGTAAATACAGATCCTGACAGAAGGACAAATGCGAGAGCAGGGGGACAGTTTTTGGAGGGCGCTGAGTTTTTTGTGGCTATACCTGTAGAAAACTTTTGATGCAATTTCAAATTACATGTTCCTGGCAGGGCACCAGGACTATCTAAGTAAAAAAAGCCATTATAAAGCCATCGGCTGGATGCCGTCACACGCTAACTGTGCCTGCCTTTGCCTAGCTGCCACCAGCCTATTTCTAAGACTCCCCTCGGACAGATTTGGGAAGCTTTTTGCAGTTGTTCATACAATGAGAAGTTGCTCAAAGGAGCAGCTTCAGTGTCTCAAGTCTACTCACACCTATAGGCACCAGTGTCATGCCAAAATCTGCTGCAATTTTTGATAGCAGCAGACACCAGTTCAGTATTTGGAAAATGAATCTGCACTATGAGGTTAGGAAAGGCATTATGTTTCTCTTTTCCTTGGCTGAAGGATCACTGCCTTCTTGCTTAATACAAAAATGGAAGACTTTCACGTAGGCATAGCATCAGTTCTGTCAAACATTTGCTTTTTAAGTATTTTAAAGCCTTTTATTTTTCCCTGAGGTGGCAGAACTGACAATGTTCAGAAGACCATAAAGTGTTGATGGATTCATTAATGTTTAGTCGTCTGACTGTATTTTTTTAAATATCTTTTTTTTTCTAATTGAAAAGACTCAGCTACTTCATTTTTCTCCTTCCAAGAAACTGCTAATGAAATATGTCATCTGTTTATTGCAGTGCAGAGGCTGAGGATTTCAGCGTCCCTTGGGATGGCCGTCCCAGTTGTCACTGTCCGCTTCTATTTCAGCCCGCCCATTCTAGAGTGTCAAAAAACCTTCTGGTAATGTGAATTTTCCCCAGGGCTATACCACAGTAAAATAAGGCGGTCACTGAATTGGCTACTGTCATTTTTATTTTGCAGTTGACAGAAGCAAGTTCAAAAGAAGTTTCATTTCTTTTTTTTAAAGAAGTGTTTCACACTGGTGGTGGCATCTGCTGCACCAAGGGCCCCAATCCTTGCTGTCCTTGTGTGAGTCATTCCCTACAGCATCCTCAGCAGGCAGAGAAGGCATCCACCCACTGCTGCCCCTCCTGCTGGCCACAGGATAGCTGGGACAGGCAGAGCTGGTCGGTTCCCCTGGCTGCAGGTGCTCAGCTTTTCCCTCCTCTCCTTCAGAGGCATTTACTGGGAGCATCAATGCCGAGGGTACCTCCCAGCCCACTCTGCACACAGAGAGGTCTGGTTTAACTGAATTTAGACCACAGGCTCCAGAAACCCTGACAACAAATTAGCCTGAATCAGCTTTATGACATTATAAGCCCATACAAGCACTGTCAAAACACCCAATGCCTGAGGACAACAAATTGAGTTTAAAGCCAGCTGGTGCTGGTTGTAACAGTAGACCAGACCAGCAGCCATGTGGCTAAATCTTGCCGCTTGGAGGAGTAACTGCAGCCTCGTCCTTCTGAAGCAGGGTGGAGGAAAACCAGGGCAGGCTCCAATTATCCCAGCATCCCTCTGCCACTTCAGGACAGCCTGCCTGACTTTACAGGGCCAGGATGGGCAGGCTCCCTGGCACTGCCAGTTGCCACCAACATCCCCAGAGCCTGTGACACTGGCTGGAGCCACTCCCCTAGAAATGGGTAAGCAGAGCAGAAGGGGCTCACCCACCCCACTGCCTGGCTTTTCCATTGCTTAAACTGCAGGGGCAAGGGGAATATTCTCAACAGCATCTTCCCAGGAAGGCTTAGGACAGCTGGCATTCCCTTACCCTGCTGCCATTTCATGCAACCCCAGGCTTCAAGGCTGTGCCATGGGAAGAGGAGCCACACACTGGCACCTCTCCTGCTGCTGAGCTCATTGGGCAAATGATGCTAAGTAGGGACCACTGGCCTCCCACCACCCTCGTGTGTGAAGCACAAGTCCTACATCCCATCAGCACGGGGGAGAAGCAGCCATAGAACAAAGTACTTAATTACACCAAGATTGAGCACTTTCCCCTCCTCCTCCTCCTCGCCTCTAGCAGCAATTAGAGATTTTGTATATTGGGCCATTAATTTTCTACAGGGCTACATTTTAACTGCTTCTGAAACTTCTGTATGAGGAGAAGGATGTGGAGCTGCACTCATGATATATGGAGCTTCCATTTCTGGTGGCTGTTAATGGAGACATTAATACCTCTAGTGAAGTTGAAGGGAAAGTCATTAAGCTGTAATGGTAGGAGGAAGACATGTTACAATGATGAGTATATGGAAGATGTAAAAGAGGGAGAGAGGAGCCGTGCCCTCAGGGGCACGCCTTGTTAGCTCCAGTCTCTATGTGACTTGGACTTTGGGTGTGGGGTCTTAGGGAGTGAGTGAGAGGCTAGAAGGTTGTGGGGTTACCTTTCCCTCTGCTCTCTTCTCCCTGTCAGGCAGGGGCTCTACAGAAATCCAGAAACTAAATCCAAGGCAGGCAGAAGGGCTGCACATCTCAGATGAAGGCCATGGGACAGAGCAGCCTCGGGGGCAGGAGTGCTCAGATGTAGCAGCTTTCCTACACAGGCTCAGCCTTTCTCCAGTGCTGCCCAAAGCACAGCTGCAGAACCAGGGGTGCACACCTAAGGCTTCCACACATGGAGTTAGCTGTTGGGAAAATAAATTAATCCAGAAGAAGAATGAGCAGCCTCTCAGACAGAAAACTTACCTGGACTGGGCTGCTTCTAGGTTGGGAGGACACCAAACAGTCAGGTAAGGCACAGACAATCATAAGTGCAAGGAAAAGGTGGAGAATAGGGAGAGGAAAGTAGGCAATGGAAGCAGGCAATGGAAGCTGAGATCCAAGCCTGTTAGTATTGTACCTTTATTGAAGTTACCAAGCAGCCAGACAGAGAATGAAATGGAGAAGCAAAAGCCTTGGGCTGTGAGCTGCTGACAGAGAGAGAAAAGAAGGGCATCAGCTTCAAAGACACAGCTCAGGCCACTCGGTGAGAGCAGGGAGAAAGGCAGGCACCGAGCCCAGAGAGGGCAATGCTTTCTTGGGCTGAAGGCAGCCAAAAAGTGAGGGCTGAGGGAGACCATAAATCAAACAACACATGCAGAGCACACAGGGCAGTGCAACCTCCTGCTCCTCCTGCCCTGAGAGCAGGGGACAAAACATCCCAGCAGAAATGCAAAGGGAAGAACAGCAAAGGTAGCTGGTTTTGCCTTTCCCATGCCTGAGGGAACATGTGTAACCTCTATTCTCCTACCACCCACACTCCTATCTGCTATAAAATTGATATGCCACGATGTCTCACGATCAGTGCTCACTTCTTTAACCACTTCGACCCATTTTCTGCTCAGGCCTCCCAGAGCTCTGGGATGATTACACTGCCTTGTACATCCTTGCAGAGGTTTGACCCACAGGGGCTTAAGAATCAGCTTCACACACATGCAGAAGGGCTGCACATCTCAGATGAAGGCCATGGGACAGAGCAGCCTCGGGGGCAGGAGTGCTCAGATGTAGCAGCTGCAGATGAAAGGTTTCAGGGGAAACTGTTTGCTAGATAAATGGCCACTGAGCATGGAAGGGAATGAATCAGAGAAGTCTGTGCCCCTTCACTTGCACAGAGGCAACTTGGGACTGTGATCCGACAACAGTAAGTGACTTGTTAACAGTTCTCATGAAGAATATTAAACAATGAAAGCAGCAAAAAACAACATTGCATAATATCCTGGTGCCAGATGTTTTAGTTTGTTTTTGTGTTCAAGTTTATAAAAACATGTTGAAGGGCTCAGTCAAGGACCTTGTTTTCCTCTGGGGTCTGTTCCTGCCTTCCCAAAGGCAGACAGCCTGACACAGTGACATTAATAATGTTAATTTGTGCACTTTGCTTTTTTCAGTCACCTTTCACTTTTTTTTTCCCAGTGCTTTCTTCCTCCTCTTATTTAAAGTTGCATTTCTCTTAGACTGTACTACATACCCCAATGCTGAAGTTTTCAATTCAGTGTACTCTGGGGCAGTCTGACACACACAAACAAATCCCCTAATTTTAGTGTGGAAAACCTATTTTCCACAGTTGTTAAAATCATGGTATTGCAATCCTGTTAGGAAAATCTGGTTTGTTGTTGAACCATCTGAAACATTTCTTCATGTTTGAGTAGAAATATTACTAATCACTAAAATATTTAGTGGTGCTTTGTGCCCACATACCCCAAGCTCTCTTAGAATAATACCATAATATCCCAGTACTGAAATTATTAGGATTCTTCCAAAGTTATGAAATTAAAAGAGCAAACAACAGGGTACAATCTAATCAAATACCTGGAAGGAAAGACTATTTCTACTTTTTTCCAAGTGGAACAAAATTTTTTC